GACTGGGTATTTCTTAATCTCCTTAGTTATTACCAATGTAGGAAGTAGCCTAAGCTGTGCTTTGGACTTTGGGAGGGACACAAAGGCAATAGATACCAGAGGCAGAAGTAAAGAGGTACTGCATTCCAGACATGGGGGACCAATTGTTCAGCAGCTATTTATTTACTGCTTCCTCTTTTCAGATCACTGTGCCAGGTAGGAGATTTATTGGGAAGGAGGAGAAAGATTAAATCTGCTCTCATGGAACTTGCCAGTAAGCAGGTTGTAGGATCACAGCATTGCTGCTGAGATGGAGGCTTTAGTGTCTGTAGAGTACGAAGTAGATTCATGGCACTGACTTTTGAGACCTTTGGAGAAAAAGGCCTATTCTAAGAAATACTTGGTCTCATCCCTAGAGTATATTTTCTATTTTTTTATGTATTTTCTATTTTTAAAACTCACTTCTATACTGTATCTAGAATGCTGTCCATAACATTGATTCCTCAGTCCATACAGATTCTTTTTCAATCTCCCAAGGGCATAGAATAGAATACCATTCTTTGCTATTGGTCTACTTTAAGTTGTCTCTGAATTTGGGACAGTAGCCATGGACTAGGTTAAGCATCTCCTTAGAGAAGACTCCACTCTGCCATTGAGGAGGTAGGGGAGTATAGGGCATTCCATTTTGTTATTAGTATAGTAGCATATTCTCCTGACTCTTTTTTATTCTGTATTAGTTCACAAAAGTCTTACTATATTTCTTAGAATTCCTCATTTGTCATTTCTTACAGCACAGTAATAGGCCATGACCTATTAAAACAGACCAATAGCAAGTCATGTTTAGCTGGAGCAGAGTGTCAGGAAAGAGAGTAAGGTAAAATAAAGCTAGAAAAGTAGCATGTTGGTAGATTTTGGAACACCCTGCTTGCTAGTCAAATAAAGATGTTTGAACTTGGTTCCATAGGTAACAGGAAACCACTGAAGATTGTGAGCTAAACTGGGACAGCAGCCCTTAGTCAACAAACATAATAAGAACTGGGTGGAGAATCAATATTGCCTTGGGTGGTAATAACTTGTGTCTCACTGTCTTGCAAACATAGTAAATAATGGCAGCTTTGTATTTCCAACTAGTAGAAGCCTTTTCCATACATACATATCATTATATGTGTACATATTTTCAGTAACATATTTTAGTATCATAATTTATGCACACACAGTGCATATATAGACATGTGTCTATGTGCACATACCAATACATGTACACACATGTATACGTGTGTGACATTGATTTGGACTTTTCCTTTCATTGGTGCTTAGTCCAGAGTGTAAAGGATATGCTGACACCTGCAAAACGTAGATATCACACACTAGTTCTATCCTATTCTAGCCTTTATTTGTCTTATTCTGAGTAATGTTTATGCCCTTAAATTCAACTCTGCTAGTCTTTCTGTCTTTCTATGCCATTGGAAATGATTATTGAATTATGACAAGATTGGGAAGGGACCTTAGTGATCATCTAATCCCCATATTTACAGATGAAGAAACTGAGGCCAGAGAGATTAGGTAACTATATTTACTTAAATCACAAACAAAGTAGGGATTTAAATCCACATCTGACTTCAGATCCAGTTTAGGGAAGGCTTAGGTGAGCACATTTTAAGTGCTTTAGTAGGATACTTTCTGGAATACATTCTGAAGAATCCCACTCGAAGGTGCAACCCCCAGCATTGAATCCTCCTTCATAATAAAGAAAAAGTTAAAACAAAAACAACATAGAGTGACCATGTTTGATAGTGTATGCATCATCATGTAACTGTAATTCCCCACCTTTCTATCAAGAGGAAAGATCCATGCTTCCTCATCTCTTCTCGAAGATTGTTGTACTCAGAATCTCACACAGTAACGATTAGTCCACATACTGGCTTTTTATACACAAAAGTAGTTGGCAAATTAATTTTCCACCCCCATTTTATAGATGGTAAAGCCAAGGCATAGTCTTATCTTTTATATATTTGGTATAGTTAAAATTCCAAATTCATAAGTTATAATACCGATAAACCCATAAATAAAATTCCCAATCCAATCCCCATATTTTACTTTAAAATGTCAAGCCTTTTGTCGTTTCTGGTTAAAATCCCTTTCTCACCTCTCCCTTCAGCATTGAATCCTCCTTTATGATAAAGAAAAGTTGAGCAAAACCAACATAGAATGACTATGTTTGCCAGTGTATATACATCATTATTTAACTGTTGTTCCCTGCCTTTCTATTGAGAGATGTCCATGCTTCATTATCTGTTATCCAGAACCAAGATTGTTTATTATAGTTACTCAGAATTCGGTTTCCTTTTATCATTCATATAGTCACTAAGTAGCATATTTTCCTACTTCTTATTTTACTCTGTATTAGTTCATAAAAGTCTTATTATATTTCTTAGAATTCCTCACATTTGTAATTTCTTACAGCACAGTAATAGACCATGACCTTTACCCATGGTTTTTTTCTGGGCAACCACAGAAAGGTCCTTCTATAAATATTTTGGTATTTAGGGCCATTCTTTCAGTCTTTGACCTCCTTGGGGTATTCAGTCTTTGACCTCCTTGGGGTATATGCCTATTACTTTCCCAGTTATATCATACTGTAATTAGTTATTATGATATAATTCAAAACTCCCATCTTTCAGAGATTCCTTTAGGCGTTTTTGTTTTTTCTGTTTCCTCATTACTTCTATAAAGTGGATTTCATTCATAGCATCAAGCAATTTCTGTAATCTGAACACACCTTTTGAATTTCATATTTGTGAACTGAACTTATTTTTTTCCATTAACTAAAGTATCATATTGATCCAAAATGATCTTTTTCCATTATTTGATAAAAATAAGAAAATTAAAAGTTCTGAAGGGTGAGTGACTACACCCATGCCATCTTCCCTTTATCCAATTCAGCTTTCTAGAAAGAGAATACTAAGACCAGGACCATCTGCTAGACTATGGATCCATGGTTTTCAAGATGGATTTTTAATCTATACAAATTAATATCTTGTTTTTAAAAAATTACAGACCCAGGTGACATACAGGATATAGATTTGAAGTCAGAAGTTGTTATTAGTCATGTCTGACTCTGTGATCGCTTTTGAGGTTTTCAACTTATTTTACAGATGAGGAAACTGAGGTAAACAAAGTTAACCAGGATCACATACCTAATGAGTGTCTGAGGCCAGACTTGAACTTGGGAAGAAGAGTCCTCCTGATTCTAGGCCTGGCACTCTAACCACAAGGCCTATCTTTGTTTTCTTGAATAAGTTAATTACCCTCTCTGAGTCTCATCATTTTTTGTATATAAAATGACAAAGTTTGAGTCCTGTCAAGTCTGCAAGCATTTATTAAGGGCCTACTTTGTGTCAAGTACCGTGCCAAGCACTGGAAGTACAAAAAAGACAAATCAATCGTGTCCTTCAAATAGTTGATAATCAAATGGAAGGGGTACCATGTGAACAACTATATATAGTACAAACTGGAGATAATCAATGGGAGAAATGCAGTAGCATTGAGGGGAATAAAGACTTCTTGAAGAAGGTGGCATTTTAACTGAGACTCAAGGGAAGCCAAGAATGGAGGAGGGAGGAGACCCTTTTAGGGCTGTAGATAGCCAGGGAAAATGCATGGAATCAGGGTGTTTTGTGAGAGGAATGGCAAGGAGGCCAGTGTCTTCCTGTTCTAAATCTATAATCCCATGCCCTTGTGTATTTTTACTGAAGTGGTCCCACCAGATCTCATAATGAAGTTCTCAAAGGAAACTATAGGGACGATATAGGACTATAGAATGAGGTTTTTGTATCAAGTCTCCTTTGATGTCCGTGATAGACACCAATTATGCCTTAAGGCATAACATACACAGGTGTCTGTAGTGTGGAAAAGACACTGGACAAGAGATCTCATTTCCAGATCTGGCTCTGATTGTATAGCAGTGTGCTCATGGGCAAGTCACTCTATCCTGGTTTTCTCATCTGTAAAGTGAAGGGGGTTGGGTGAGATCAGTGATTCCTAACCTGTGTGGGCTGTGGACCTCTAGAGAGCAAGGAAGTCCCATAGGCTTATTACAAGGTGTCCATTTATCCAGGGCATCCCAATAGCTTAGTGTAGAGGTTAGCAGGTCAGTGTGGTGACCAATGCAGGGTACTATAGCTTTTTCCCCAAATGAGAAGGTTTATGGTTTGGTCTGAGACCACGGAATGTTTCAAAAGGAATTACCCTAAATAGAGGGTGACCTTGTGTTCTGGACTTCAGGAGCACAGCAGCTTTTACCAGCGCAAAAGAATTATCCAGCTTACATGATTAAGGACATGCGTAAAAATGTTGCAGTGAGAGGTCTCTGGAATACTACAAGTATTTTCTGGTTACCTGGGACTGATTATTCACTTAGCACATTATCTAGGAGTTTGCTCATCTCTCTGCTTTTTTCTTTCCCTGCTGAGAAAGTAGCATGATGTAGTCAAACAGCATTAGACACCAAGTCAAAAGACCTAGGTCCTAGGTTTTTAAATCCTAACTCAGAATGTAATTATGGCATGGTCACAGCAGGTCACTTAACCCCTTAAACTCTAGAACTCTTCATTTCTTCACCTAGAAAAATGGTATATTATTAACCAAGTTCTGGTGGGAAAAGTTTGCAAATCTTAAAGCACTGTCTAAATAACAATTATTCCCTTCCTTTTCCTTTGTACAATTTCATTATCTTTATGCCTCTAGCTGGAGGCTGATGGGGCAGAAAGATAAGAGAAAGGGAAGTCAGTCAAATTAAAATGAGATTTAAAAAAATTTTTTAAAAATGTATTATCTATACTGTCCTTGTTATGGGTTGGTGAGATCCACATATGTTAATGAAGTAGGGAATTATAAGCACCCACAGATCCTAACTTTCCACACCCCTAAACTTGCCCTCCAGCCTAGGGAGATGGGAGCCACTCAACCTGTTAACTTTCTCCCTTGTAACCTAACCACCACTTCTTGTTCTCCTGTTGCAGTCTTCAGTGTGTTCCAAAATTGTGCAGCTGCTGGGCCAGAATGAGGTGGATTATCACCAGAAGCAGGTGGTGATCCTGAGTCAGGACAGCTTCTACCGGGTGCTGACCATGGAGCAGAAGGCCAAGGCCCTCAAGGGCCAGTTCAACTTTGACCACCCAGGTAAGAAAGTAGCTCTGTCTAGTTTGGGACTGGGTGGGGGAGAAGGAAAGAGGGAGGGAGAGAGTAAGGGAGAGAGAAACAGCAGACCCCCCTCCCCCACACACAGAGACACCCCCCCACACACACAGAGACACCCCCCACACACACAGAGACACCACCCCCACCCCCCCCACACACACACTCAGCACCCTGGCTGTCTAATACTCACAGCTGCATTTCCCCACCCTCTGGCAGCTTTTATCAGCACAGAAGTCCTGCCCCTGTGGAGCCTGCTGATCCTTTTAGAAAGGAATCGATTAGTGATTAGCAAAGCAGTCCTGGTTTTCTGCCAAAACATTGCTCTTCTAGCCACACTGCTCCTAATCTTGGCAGGGATTCCAATTTCTATCTACATCAGTGTCCTTTGAGTTGATCTGTAACTGGTGGAGAAGGGGGAAGGAAAGTTCATCAGGACTAACCAGTATATCCCCAGAGTCTGATGTTATATGGTGTTCCACGATTATGACCACCAGCTTCTACAAAGGAAGGAGAAGGAGAGGGATGCAGGCGAAACACCTGTATTCCTTTTTTAAGGATGTGCCTGAAGTGAGAACCCACGTGTCATTGTGTGCTGGCTACCGAGTGCCTCATTACAGGGAGAAAAGTCAGTAAACTCCCAACGCTTCTGGGTGTCTGTGTCATTTTGAAATATTTTTAGGGCTTTATGGGGTATACAACTGAGCCAAGAGCACCTCTCTTTTCCTTAGATGCCTTCGACAATGAGCTCATCTTCAAAACCCTCAAAGAAATTACAGAAGGAAAGACGGTTCAGATTCCTGTATATGACTTCGTCTCCCATTCCCGGTAATAGACTTCCTCCCTTGCTCAGGGGTGGGGATTTCTGCTCTTCCTTCCCAGAGGACACAGTAGGCTTGCAGCTCTTAGATCTGAGCTGCCTCATGTAGGCAGAGTTTTAGGATAGGGAGATAAGGTTTGTGGTTGTGTTTTTAATAGGACATATTCATCGACAGCACTAGTGCTGTGGGCATGCCTGCAACTGACTTCATCACGCTCTCCCTAAAGCTAGTGGTGGGTCATAAAAATGAGCTTTTACCCCTAAGATCCTATGTCTAGAAGGCTGGAAGTTAATGGGGAAAGGGATTGTAAAGACAACAAGCCCTTTTCTATCCTACTGATAGATAGGGGCGGTGAAATAGGATTGGGGTTGTTAGGCAAAGAACCAGCCAATCCTACTAATATTTACACCTTCTCCCTTTACCTAGGCAGCTAAGGTGGTTCAGTCGATAGAGCACCATGCCTGGAGTCAGCAAGACCTGAGTTCCTATGTAGCCTCAGACAATAGCTGTGTAACCCTTAGAAAGTCCCATCACCTCTGTCTGCCTCAATTTTCTCATCTGTAAAGTGCAAACAGCAATACCATCTACCTCTGAGGGTTGGTATGAGGGATCAAATAATACACGTAAAGTGCTTAGCATACTGTTTGGCACATAGCAAGCACTATATAAATGTAAGTTCTTATTACTGTTATTATTAGCTTTCCAGGCCTATTCAGTGAAAGCAATATCAGATTATCTGATTAAGAACTAGGGAATCCTTAATCAGACTAGGGACTTAATTCTTTGATTCTTAGCTGCCCCAAAGCACAGAGTCATTGTGTAAGCTCTTACTTACAGGAGCTCTCCAAGTAATTAGCTTCCTGGATACCCTTGCCTAGGGGTAGCATTTTTCCTAGTTAAAGCTTAGTTCTTCTAGTTTAAGCATTTATAAACCATTTACTATGTGCTAGTCACTGAAGATACTAAGACAAAAAGATTCCCTCCCCCCCTCCCAAAGAGCTTTCATTCTGTGGGGGAGAAAGCATGTCGATATCCCAGACAAGTACAAGGCAGTTAGGGGCAGTACTCTGGTGCTTCAGAGAAGGCTTTATATAGATAGTGGTACTTGAAAGTCAAGAGACCAATTTTGGGAAAAGGAGTTGGGGAGAACTTGCATTCCAAACCGAAAGGATGGCCAGTGCAAACATTATGTTGATGAGCCATGATGGGAGCACAAAAAGAAGGCCAGTTTGGTTGTACCACAGATTTTGGGAAAGGAATACTATATTACAATGAGACTGGAATTGGTTGGGGCTGTATTGTGAAGGGTTTTAAAAGCCAAACAGAGGAGTTCATATTTTGTCCTAGAAGCAAAAAGTCAGCCAGTGGAGTTTGAGTAGGGTAGTGACATGGTCATGTCTATGCTTAAAGAAAATCATTTTGACAGTCATGTGGAGGATGGATTGGAATGGAGAGAACCTTGAGGCAAGGAGTTCAGGTAGGAGGCTGTTGATAATAGAGATGAGGTCCTGAAACAGATGGAGACTTTGCAAATAGAGTTAAAAGGTCAGAGTACAGTAGTGGTATAAATGACAAGATCTGGTAGCTGATTGGATGCATGAGAATGGATAATTTTGAGGCTATGAACCTCTAGGATATTGGAAGAATGGTGGTGCCTTCACCATAGTTAACAAACATTTATTAAGCCTTTGTTGTGTGCCAAGTACTGTACTAAGCGTGGTGGAGACAAAGGAAAAAAGATCCAGCAAAGGGCTTCTAAGGAGCGGTCAGACTGGTAGGAGGAGGGAGAGGAGAGGATCAAAGAAAGGAAGGTGATTGGCAATGTCAGAGGCTACAGAGAGGTCAAGAAAGATGAGGATTGAGAAAAGGCCATTGGATTTTGGCATATCTTTAGAGGTCATTGGTGACTTTGGAAAGAACAGATTTTGTCAAATGATGAGGTTAGAAGCCAGATTACAGAGCATCTTGAATTGTGTGAGAGGAGAGGAGGTGGAGATACTGATTATAGATGGTCTTCTCTTTTCTTTTTTTTCCTTTTCTTTTTTTTTTTTTTGACTAGGCAATGGAGTGGAGTTAAGTGACTTGCCCAGGGTCACACAGCTAGTAAGTGTTGAGTGTCTGAGGCTGGATTTGAACTCAGGTCCTCTTGACTTCAGACCCAGTGCTCTATTCACTGCACCACCTAGCTGCCCCTATAGGTGGTCTTCTCAAGGAATTTAGCCTCTAAATGGAGAAGGATCATAGTTATTGGTGATTGACCAATTCTGTGAGGGCTTTTTTGAGGTTAGAGAAAGACATGGGTATATTTGTAGTAACAGGGAGGGAGAGATTAAAGATTAGTGAGAATGGGGATGACAGAGGTGGTCTCTTAAAGAAGATTGAAATGGGACCAATTGTGCATGTAAAGGAATTTACCTTAGTTAAGAAAAGGGTCACCCCCCTCATGAAGGAGGAGACATTGTTGGAAGACATTAGAGTGATCTGAGATCAGAAGGAGAAGAGGGAGCTCCTAGCAAATGGCCTCAATTTTTTTTCAGAGAATTTGAGGCAACGTTCTTATCTGATAGAGAAGGGATGTGGGAGGTTTGAGGGATAAGTTTTAGAAAAGCTACTGTGTTGAATGGGATAGTGAATCACTTAGGGAGATGTAAAAGGACAGTCTTGCCATGGTGAAAGCTTGGTTGAGATTATGTATCATGAATCTGTAGTGGACCCAGTCAGTCTGGTTTCATGATTTTCTCCAGCTTTGCTTATCAGCATATGAGTAAGAGTGAACACATTGGGGGCAGCTTGGTAGCTCAGTGATAGAGCACTGGCCCTGGAGTCAGGAGGGCCTGGGTTCAAATCCAGCCTCAGACACATAATACTCACTAGCTGTGTGACTCTGGGCAAGTCACTTAACCCCAATTACCTCACCCCCCCCCCCCAAAAAAAGAACACATTCGATGGTGAAATTAATTAATCCCACGCTTTGGACTTGGCGGGGTGAGATCTTCAATAGGATAAGGGGGGCATAGGACTCAAGAAGTGTAGAGTTGAACTGATTTAAGATGGAGAAGGGGAAAGTGTGTAGCCAGTGCGGGGTTGTTGATGTGGGAAAGAAATGAGTCTTGGAGGGATGAAGGTCACAGACAAAGAACAGGGTTTAGGACTGCAAGCAAAAAGGAGAGGGGAGAATAGAGGATTTTGTAAGATAAGTAGTTTTGTTGGGGGAAATAACTGAGTTCTCTTTTGAACATGTTGAGTTTTAGATGTCTCTGGGACACCTATTTTGAAATGGCTTATAGGTAGTTTGTGATACCAGATTGAAACTCAGGTAAAAGAGTTAGGCTGTATATATAGATTTATGGTCCATTTGCATAAATGTTATCCATTAGTCAAGATTAATTAAATTTCTTAAAAACTGAGGCAGTGTGGTTCAGTGGAAAGAGCCCTGATTTGGGAGGGCGAAGACTTGGCTTTGAATTATACTTCTGCCATTTATTTATTTGTTTGACTTTGGGCAAGTTCCTTACCTCCCTGATCTGTTTCTATCTGTAAAATGAGGGGGGTCAGACCAGATGGCTTCTGAGGTCCCTTTTTTGTTCTGATTGTCTGGTTTGGATTTGAATGCCAGCTTCATTACAACCTGAGGGATTTTGGACAAGTAAGTCATTTACTTTCTCTGAGCCTTCTCTATTTCCTAATCTGTAAAATGAAGAGATGAGACTAGATAACTACTCCAGCACTAAATCTGATGAGTGCTCCCTACAGCTAGCACTGAGTATTTCTCAATTTAAAATTTGGATTAGTTTGTGTCTTGAATCCTTTCCATTGAACCATTGATTGACTTGTGCTAATCTATAGTAATCAGATGTCAGTACTAAGTATAGAGTGACAGAAAGTATATTGGGTTTGTAATTGGTAATTCCCTTCTTGCTACTACAAGACGTAATGTTTGTGGGCTCTGGTTTTTTCATCTGTAAAATTTGGGAGTTAGGTCTGTCTGATCTGTAAGGTGAGTTATTCACTAATGTTATGTACCGATAAGGTAGATGTATAACATACATACGCTATATTATTATCAAGCTACCAACAGCTTCACAATTATTGGTTGTACTGCAGTTTGTGTTTTGATCATTGAAAGTGCATTTCTTTTCCTGAATTGTACATGTCATATTGGGCAGCAAGGTGGCCCAGTGAATAGAGCACTGGGCTTGGAATCAGGAAGATTCATATACATACATACATACAGATGTGTGTGTGGTGTGTGTGGTATGTGTGTGTGTGTGGCAGCAAGTTGGCACAGTGGATAGAGTGTTGGCCCTAGAGTCAGGAGGAGCTGCGTTCAAATCTGGCCTTAGACACTTACCAGCTGGGTGACCCTGGGCAAGTCACTTAACCCTGTTTGCCTCAGTTTCTTCATCTGTAAAATGAGCTGGAGAAGAAAATAGCAAACCACTCCAGTATCTTTGCCACGGAAAGTTCAAATGGGGTTATGGAAAGTCAGTCGTGTCCAACTGTTTGTTTAACCTCATATGGGATTATCCTTCAGAAGAGGCTCTTATCCCAATTGTGACTGCTGTGTCCTTGTACCCAGTATATCTCAGAAGGCTCCTTGAAGCTGTTTTGACTAAGCCCTTTTCTTGGTCTCTTGTGGGAAGAAGGTGGACAGAGAGTATAATCATGGTTTCATAATTTTAAACCTAGAAGGGACTTCAGATGCCATTGAGTACAACCCTCTTGTTGTACTGAGGGGGAAACTGAGTCCCAGAGAGGTTAAGTGATTGGTCACATATGGGTAGAATTTGAAGCTTTGTCCTCTAGTGCTCTTTCCAAAGACTCTCCCCCTGACTCAGAGTTTGGCAGAGAGAGAATCTAGCCTCTTCATCAGATGCCCTCCTTCCTACCCTTTTCTCAATACTCTTTACTTTTTGGTCTAACCTTTCTTCACTTTCTGCCTTGTGCCTGGCAGGAAAGAGGAGACAGTGACTGTGTATCCTGCTGATGTGGTGCTCTTTGAAGGGATCCTTGCTTTCTATTCCCAGGAGGTACGAGACCTTTTCCAGATGAAGCTCTTTGTGGACACGGATGCAGATACTCGACTCTCCCGTAGAGGTAGGTCTGGAAACCTCCCCTTCATATTGTGGTACACGCAATACAGACTCTGGATCCTACTTTCTTTCCTCTGGGAATTCATAGCTTGGATGTGCTCACCTGCCAGCAGAAGAGCCCTCTTCATTCCAGGATGTTCTTGTGAGGAAGTGGTTCTGGTGACATTAGAGGCAGCATTAGTCAGTCATTCTGTACAGGATAATAAATCCCCTGTGAGGTCACTATTGGGTAACCTAAGAGGCTGGCATGTGGGCCTATGGGAAAGGGCTTGGGCTAAATACTCAGTTCCAAATAGCGTCCTTGTGGGAAATTCAGAGTGAGATCAGGACATTTGGCTTCAGGGTATTCTGAGTCAAGAACAGTCTGTCCCTTAACCATTAACTAGAGAGTAGTCCTGCCAGTTTTCCCCTATATCCAATTTTTTTTCAAATCATCTTTTAAAAAATGTTTTCCATTTGTCTTTTGCTTTTGTATCCCTTTCCTCTTCCAGTATGTCCCTCCCCTGTTCCCTAATCAGGCATCGATCCCTTCTAACAAAATAAACAAGAAATGGGTGGAGGAACAGTTAAGCAAGACTGACTGATACCTCAGCCAGATCCAGTAGGGTTTCACATCTCTGCAAAGGAGGGAGGGAGGGACACACTTTCCTGCATCTCTTCTTTGGCAGAAAGCTTGGTCTTTATCATTACACAATATTAAGTTTGTTGTTGTTGTTATTCTTTCAATTTGCATTATTGAATTAAGTGTCTTTTCCTGGCTCTCTTGTATCTGTTCCCATAAGTCTTCCTTTGCTTCTCTTTGGCCTTCCTTTTTATCATTTTATATCACTCAATAATATCCCATTGCATTTATTTACTATAATTACTTAGCCCACCACTAATCAGTGAGTATCAACTTTATTTCTGTTTTGTTTTTCCTTGACACAAATGCTGCTTTTGGTGTAATTGAGACTATTTTTGTATCTTAATGAGATATCAAGGGGTATAGACAGTTTACTCACTTTATCTTACGTGCTTTTAAATACAAAATGCCATGTCCTATATGAGACCTTTTCCAATCCCCCCTCCCCCTTGCTGCTAGTGCCTCACTCTTGAAAAATGATCTTGTATTTAATTCCACATACACTTTTGTCTTGATATAATTCAAGGATAATTTTGTTTTATCTTTGTTTACTCCCACCTAGCACAGTAGGCACATATCTTGACCCGTAGTAGGCATATATCTTCGCTCACAGTAGGCTCATAGTAGATGTGGGTTGGTTTGTTTTTTTAAAGTGCTTTATGTGTTTTAATTCTGGCAAATAACCCACACACTGGGTCAGTAACATTGCCAGTTTTAATGGAGAAGGACTGAAGAAAACAAATCCCATGGCCACCGCAAGGTAGCAGCAGCCCCTGAATGTTATTTTGGTTCTCACAGCCCATGCAGATTGCTTTTTAGGCAGATAAAATGTAGATAGAATCAGCCCCACAGCTCGAAGGGAACCAGTCTGACCTATTCATTTTGCATATGAGGAATCGGAACACTAGCAAGTTTCAACGAGTTCTTTAAAGTCACACAAGTAATGAAAGCACTAGGATGGGAGCCCAGGTACTTCAGAGAGAGCCCATGCTCTTTCCCCTGGGCCCTGCCAAAGTCCTACAGTTTGTCTTTTGCAATGACTATTAGATTCAGCATCAATATGAAAAAAAAGAGAGAGAGACATTAGAAGACTGTAGGGAAGTGAAAACCTGACTTTCCCCTTCCTAGGGGCATTATAATGTGTAATAGGTGACTCTCCAGAGAAAGCAGTGTGGTAGACTGGAGTTGGGAGCTCTTCCACTGTTTAGCTCTTGTTGGGCCTTGGTTCCCATCTGTAAAATAAAGACCAGATAATCTCTGAAGTGCCTTCTGACCCTAGCATCCTCTGATTCTGAAAGCCTGTGTTTTTAAAGCTGTACTGCTTAGGGGCAAGATATAGTGGACTTTCTTTTTAATGATGCTACTACCCAGATTGAGTCAGGAAATCTTTTCATATTGCTCCCCTTTCCCCTCCTACCCCATGCTGCACTCTGCATAATCCTTCCAACCGCCCCCCCCCCCCCCCCTCCCTCTTCCCCCCCCCACCCCCTCCCCCCCTCCCCCTCCACCCCCCCCCCCCCCGCCATTTATGGTTCCCCCTGAAAGCCATTGCACCCTTTCCTTAACTTTCTACAGAAAACACTGTGTATGTGTAGCACATCGTGTAGGCCTGCCTGCCCTCACCCCGGTGTGCCAGGCAGTCATTAGGCCTTCCCATTAGATTTCCCACCACTGTTACTCACAGATTCCCACATAATGTTAGACCATGATATTGGACTGGGTGACTACAGGCCCAGGCTCACATCATTGCTAATCCAGCCAGTTGGAGCTGAAGTCAAAACCTCAAAGAATGGAATAACTCAAGAATAATCATAGGTGAAAGGGCCCTTAGTACTTCCATTCAAAGAGCAGACAGCCACATATACATGTTTTCCAGCAGGTACAAATGTTTATACCTTGCTTGAAACAAATGACCAGGTACTGAACAGGATGATTTCTGTTGTCCTGTTGCTAAATATCAAGGAATCTTGTTAGGATCAAACAGGCATTAGAGATCCATGGTTGGAGGAGAACTCTAAAGCTATATTTTGTCCTACTGAGTCAAATCTTTTTTTTGTTATTTTACTCACAAAAATTTTGTAAAGGTAATATAGCCGGCAAGAGTTATTGATGTTGCTTGCTTGCCTTTTGGGGGTGGGAAGATAATATTGTCCATTAATTATATTTTTTAACTTATTTTGATATCTTCCCCTACCTGAACTATCTTGTAAAGTGATCCCTTGATGCTTTCTAGGTTTCTACCTCTAGCATATTTCCACATAGAAATAAACTTGAAAAAAAGTTTCTATTTCATTGTGTTTCTTCCTTCTTTTTATGATTCCAAGTCACTTTCTTTAGCTAAAACTTTCTTTGTATCTGTTGCCTTTTCTGCATGTCTTCCGTCCAGCCTTAAGCAAAGAGTCTGGGATTTGGAAGTAGGGGGTCCAAGCTGGAGTCACCAGTTCTGTGACTTTTTAGCCGTGTGTGACTTGGTCAAATCTCGTAATTTCTCTTAAGTCTCACTTTTCTTATTTGTAAGATGAGGAGTGGGCTGCAGTGATATTTCAGGTTCTTTCTGGCTCTGAGTCTTAGATGCGGTTGTCAGAGTGAGACAGTCAAGGCTTTCTCCTTCCTCGTGTGGCTTGTTTTTAGAGTAGACTTTGTGTCCCTTTCTTTAATCCTTCCCTTTGTATGAACAATGCATCAAAGCATTCTCCTTGCTGACTGCTTACTGTTTCTGAGATCCATCCACTGGTATACCATGTCTCTCCAGTGTGTACGTGAGATTTTCCAGCTTTGTAACAGAGGTGTGCTTATGGGGTAGGGAAGAAGTAGTGGTCACATGTAAAAGCATTACTTGAGGCTTAAAAATTACCTCTCTCCTCTGTCTCCAATTTTTTTTGTTTGTTTATTTTTAAATCTAATTATGTGCTTTTCCTTTTCATTGACATTCCAAGGGGAGACCTGGCCAGTCTCCATGGGCCAATGCCTTTGCAGTGGGTTTTCTGCCTTCCTGGCATTGATATCTCTCATCTGGGGATATGTGAATGAAGCCAATCAGACTTAAACTAATACCTGGCTCTTTCTGAACCTTTCCTTCGTAAGTGGCACCCTTCCCCAGAACGCAAGGCATGGAATGGGATCCAGATTGATTTATTTACCCATCATTGTGAATATGAAGTGTGTTAGTGCTGGAATCTCTTTTTAATTTTATCTTCCTTTGCCGCCTTGAATCAGAGAGAATTGGAAAGAGCAGGATTGTAGTTGTGGACCTGGAAGGGACACCAGAGGTCATCTGGTCGTTTTACGGATGAGGAAACCGAGACCCAAAGTAATGATTTTTGTCCTGGTCACGGTGTTAGGGAATGACAGAGCCATTATTTGAACTCATGTTCTCTGATTCCTAATCTAGCCCCCTTTTCATGTTGCCTCTGCTCCCTGTCCTTTAAAGCCCATTTCAAATGCTACCTCCTACGGAAAGCCACTGCTGATCCCTTTGTTGAAAACAGTCCTCCTCTTTGGACCTGACAGCCTTTTATTCTTCATCTTTCAACATAACTATCGTGTAGCATTTCATATTGTAGTTGCCTATTTTTGTGTCTTATTCTCCTGCTGGATTATAAGCAAAATTAATGTCTTATCCAAACTTTGTATTTCCCTCAGTGCCTAGCAGAGTGTTCTGCATATAGTAGTTGTCATAAGATAATCTTATAAGACGTCTGAATAAATAATTGTTTGGAGGAAATCATTATAAGCCTAAATGGCACTAAGCCCAAATGATGTACAATATTTTTACGTAGAGCGGGGTAGTCACCATGACTTGACCTACTCTGTCTGATGATGCTGTATTCTCCCCAGCATCCTCTTGTCCTAGTCAAAGCATTTATTCCATATGAATCTATTAAAGCTAGAAAAAGGAGAGAACCAAGTACTTCTTAAGCACTTACCACGTGCCAGTCATTGTGCTGAGTGCCTAGGGATACAAACACAAGCAGAAAAAAGAGATGTCCCTACACTCAAGGAATTTATGTTCTAATGGGAACAGGGTGAAGTACTTGGTGGGAACATAGCATGGTTTTAATCCAGGAAGTCAGGAACAGAGCTGGGAGAAGGATGAAAACAGGCTCACCAGCATCACTCACCATTAGGAGGGAGGTGAGGCTTACCTTGCAGAGGAATAGTCTAGGATGAGCAGGCCCCAGGGCTAACAGGATATTCCAGACTGAGGAGACCCCAAAGTTCCAGGATGAAACTGTAGAGAGGGCATGGTTTCTGTGTGGATGTCCTGTCCTTTGGATATGTGGTAGAGCAGGGATTAGGACAAATCTGGACTAAGCTACAAAATGACAGCCCTTCCTGTTATCTTGACGTGAGTGCCTTTTCCCTTGACAGACATAGGTATCTTGACTTTCTTGATGGTCATCTCTTGTTTTCAGTCCTTTACATTTTATTGGACCAGAAAGGACCCTAAGCTGCTCCAAGCTGCAAATGCATTCATTCGTCTTCTTGGTTGTCAAATTCTTCCAGGAGAGTTACTAGATTTTGTGGTTATTTCTTGTTTTAGTGTTGGGACTGTCACCTTCTTTCTTGAGCTGAAAAAATAAGTGCTTTTGCAGGGATTCCAGTGATGCTTTCCTAACCCTTTTTCTGTTCCACTCTGCTCCCCAACCCCCATACCGAATAATTCAGATGTATCTTCATTCAACTCTTTCACAGGTTTGTTTACAGTGAAATGCAGCCTAATATTGAGCTCTACAATAAATGTGGTGCCTTATAGGGGGTTTGTTGGTAGAAATTAATGCATCTTGTTCAGTGAGAGTGGATTTCAGTGAAATATCCATATGAAAACATCTAAAGAAGTAATGCATTCCTAGTAAGGGAAAGAGAGGTTTAACCAGAGGTAGTTTGGGGCCATCATCAAAAAAATCTCATTGTAATCTCTGTGGTCCCCTCTATGCTACTTTTAATCTATGGGAAAGTGGAGGACCAGGGAGCAGCACAGTTAATGAGAAAGCCAAGGTTGTTCTTTCTACCCCTGTCTCTACCCCCCCCCAAAAAAAATTACAAGATTTTTCCGATGAAAGGTGACTTAATAAGGTAGCCAGGGAAAATATGTGAACATATTTTCATGAACCTGGGGCCTGAAGTGCCCTTCTGTCCCACCATTTTGGGTCTAGACCTCAGAACAATTTGAGTGAGTTTCATTCTTTATCCTCCCATTAGTCATTTATTCAGCAAACATTTATTGAGTCTACTTTGTTCACTACACTGTGACCTCAAGATGCTTAAAATTTAGTCAGATTGGTGGCAAGAAGATGTTGGTGGAAGGGACACAGGACTTGAATTCAGGAGTTCAAGGTTTAAATCTCACCTGATATTTACTAGCATCTTAACATGGAGCTGCCAAGTGAGGTCACCTTGTGCACATTTTGTGTTCTCATCTTTCTGATGGGGAAAGTATATCTATTTTACAGGGTTGTTATGAAGGAAAGGGCTTTGTAAACATTCAAGTGTTATGGAAGAGTGTAATTTGTTTATTGTAGTTCTGTTTGGCATTCTTGGCAAACCTGGACAGGTCATAATTACTTTTTTTTTTTCATAAATGTTATTGATATCTTTTGTTTTTATATTACCTTTGTTGTCCATTGTATCCTTAGAGCAATCCTTGGAACAAAGAATAAAGAGAGGGGAAAAGACAATTCAGCAGAACTAAGTTGTTACACACTCAGAATTCAGACCAGCACAGCCTCACCCCCTCTCCCCTTTCCTATCCCATCCTTCACTTGCAAAGAAATTGGGGCAGAAGTCTTTTGATATATCAGTGTCTTGTTTTGTTTTATTTTTTAATTAACAAGCATTTATTTTCTCTGCCTACCTCATCTCCCCCGCCCCAGGCACAGGTTCATATGTTTTGATTTTCCTCTTTTCGTCAAATATATTTGGGAATGCTAGAGTGTCAGGGATTCTTTTGAACAAAGCTCATGGTTTGTGACAAGTAGTCACCATCTACCCACAGCTGAAATTGCCCCTGATGGAGTTGACATGGGGGCAGAATAGCAAAGTTGGGAATAAAGAGTTTGTAACTGATATTTGGTGCTTGGAATTCTGGGAGGAGCACTGAGCAGAGCTGTTGAGGATGGATGGGGGTAGGCTGGAGGTGCGCTAGAGAGGGGAAAGAGAGAAGGTAGAGGAGGGAGGGAGGGGGAGGGAGAGGTAGAGTTGGCTACTCTCCACTCCCTGCCTGGCTTGGACATGCAGGCAGGAGCAGCTCAAGACCTTTCTAAACTGTGAACCAGTGGAACAGACTCCAAGTGACTGATCCAGGCCTTTTTTGTTACTATGAAATATGGGAAAAAATGTTGCAGAAACAAAATAGGCTGCTTGGTTAGCCTTGGTGGTCCTTTGTATTATATAGGGATTTTTTTGGTTATAAGACATCAGATGCAACTTAGTGTTCCTCAAATTGCAGCTGGTCTGTTCTTTGAACAGTCTGATGGTCCCTGTGTGCCAGAGCCCAGAGGGCCTCAAAGAGAGGAAGGAGGCGTTGACCAGTGCAGCATTTTCATGACTTGTTTTTCCTTCTCTTGTAGTGTTAAGGGACATCAGCGAAAGAGGGAGAGACCTGGAACAGATCTTATCTCAGTACATTACGTTCGTCAAACCTGCCTTTGAGGAATTCTGCTTGCCAGTAAGTTCTTGCACAGCCCCCATCCCCCTTCTCTAATTCACAAATTACAATTTAATAATACAAACAAAGCTTACTCGAATTGATGCAATTCTGACTTCTCTGACACTAGCTTCCCTCTCCTCCCTGTTGTTTATAGATGCCAGTGTTGCTTCCCTTCTTGAGGCCCAGAGAAAGGCCACCTCAACCACTTTCTTGCCTGGCAAAGCTAAATGTACCTCCCCCACGAGGGATTCTGGGAATAGCTCTCCCTTTCATCCCTTTGGCATGGGATCTGGTATTCTGTTTGTTGCCAGATCTCAGGCCAGCCAACTAGATAGTCAGTAGCCTCTATTCACTCAGCTGTTTCATCCAGTATGATAATTACATTAAGCAACATGGTTTCGTATTGGTCACAGTACCTTCAGTGAAATGAGAGGAAAGCCTGTTGCTCAAGATGCAGGGGAGGTGGAGAATGTTGTATACCACGAGATCTGTTCCCCTAATGACTTTCCCACAGGTTTTTACCTTTTAACGTTTTTCTTTGGTTCTGACTAGTTCTGAAACAGCTGGTTTAAATTTGGGAGGGAGACATAAAATAAGCTTTGTACTTGAGACTCGCCTCAAAAATTTCCTCAGTTCCTCCTTGGCACTGAGCTATTGGATGTTCCTGTGGCATCAGCTGGTCCTGTGAGTTCTCCAGCTCTGAAGTGAAGTGCTCTAGTCCATTTTCAGGGAAGGAAGGCATCCCTTAAGGAGAAGTCTTTGGAACCCAGCCGCTGAGGTGCAGTTGTCTTCCCTGGAACATGAGGGAAGGGGACAGGATGAGGTAGAGGGAGAATGATCTGGAAAGAGAAGTATTTAGTGTGGGATTTCCTCTCTCCATCTCAGTGACATTGGCCCTTCTGGTTCCATTTTATTCAAACTGTTGTGAGTTGGGAGATTGGCCTGGCTCCTGAGTGATATCTTTTGGAAGCTAATTGATAGACAGGCATCCTTCTGCAGGGTGAGGAAGCTGTTTGGTCTGTGAAGCCAAGAATTGTGATTGTTGTCTTTATCCCTTTAGAAAAGGGATTGCAAAGTTTTCATCTTCACTCCCACTTGCCTTCCATAAACTTGGTTTAAAAAAAGTCTCCCTGTCTTTAAGTCTGATTAAAGAGATACTTTGTAGAAAATCATCACAAACCAGTCCTAATTTAAGGTAGCCAGTGTCAGATCAGAAATAGGGGAAATCTAAAGGATTCAGTTAGGGCAACAGGTGCCCTGGGCCTTCTGGGGATTTTCTTTGTAGGATCAGGTCAGATGGTGACAGGCAGAGGGCACCAGGTGGGCCTTGGTAGCAGAGCAGCAGTGCGACTCCACAATGGCACCCCTCTGCCATTTTTATCTCTAATAATAGAGATAGCTGGAGTCAGTAAGGCTTGAGGTCAAATGTAGCTTCAGATACTTACTAGTTGTATGACCATGGGCAAGTCACACCTCTATCTACTTCAGTTTCCTTAACAGTAAAATAAGGCTAATAATAGCACCTAACTCCTGATGATCAAATGAGATAATATTTAAAAGCAGTTCAGTGCCTGGCACATAGTAGGTGCTTAACAAAAGCTTGTTCTCTTCTCCCTCTCCATAAGTCTGCCACATTTTTTAAAGTGAGCATAGGTAACTCTGGGTAATTTTGTTTTCTTTCTGGTTTTTTGCCCAGCACATTGGTGAAAATTAGAATTTGGGGCAGTCTGTATCTCCAGCCATCCAACTCATTCCTCCCTCCCATCTAGCTATTAAATACTCAAGGAAAGCCATCGCATTCCATTGTAAGCCAGGGACTGATATGGAATGTCTCTTCAGTTTGGTTCAGAATTCAGAATTGGCTGGAGAATATTTTTATGAAATGTTATTCTAATTTAGCAGTCTTAGAAGATTATCTTTTACCTTTTAGAATTTTTACTTCAAATTGTTTCTCAGAGTTTCCTCATTGTCTTCAGACATATCATCCCCTCATTCTTGCTCAAACTTCCAATTCACAATCAACCAGTAAATATCTATGCCTTATTATGTGCAAAAAACTACATATATACTGAAAGGTATATAGTTCTGTCCCTCAAGAACTTAGAACCCTAGTCTATCTAGGGAGAAAAGATGGCCCTGTATTTACTTGGATGGATTCTGTCATGTTGAGTTAAACCACACACAGAAAGCACATTTCTATTTAGTTTTGGAACTCATATAAAACAGAATTAATACTTAGTTTTACAATTCAGGAAATTAGTACAGTTTGTTTTTTTACTTTTTGTTCCCTACTGAATTAAGTTCCTGATGTGAGTCTGAGCAGAAAGTAATTAGGAAAATAAATCTCCTAGTGGAATAATTGTTTTGTAGTCATCGACACAATTGGAAAAGCTTGGGGGCAGGTAAAATCCCCAAATCACTTATATTTTAGCTTTAGAATATACTTTGGAGTTTCCAGGTAAAGACAGTATTTCATATTCACAACACTCACTCAATTCTATGCCTCCTTTCCCACAGTTGTCTATCTCTTGCCTGAAGGAGAGAATAAACTGTTATCTGGGTTTTCTTCTTGAATCGTCTGTGTGAAATCCTAAGCACAATGGTTCCCTCCCTACTTGTTTGGTGGGGAAGTAATGAAATTTTTGCCTTTCTGTGCTAAATTCTAATGTGCAAAGCCAAGTGAATGTGTAAACAGTGTTAAATGTCGTTAATGAATTTAAGGAGAGAAAGTGATTGGGCAGAATGAACTTGAGAACAAGATAGTGCCAGTTAGATCATTTGAGTATAGGTCATTGAAAATTGACTTTTTTTACATTTAATTTTTATTTTTTTCTCAATTACATGTAAACAAAATTTTGACATTCATTTTAAAAAAAAAAATTTGAGTTCCATAGTCTCTCCTTTCTCTCTTCTCCTGAAAATTGACTTTTTTTTTTTTTAAAGCATTCACTATTGTTATATTGTCTATACAGCTATCCCATTGGTTGGGACAGCCACCTAAAAACAGAAAAAAATTCTTGGTTCTTTGTTCAGCCAATGCATGTTTCTAAATTATCTCCAATGCCCCCATCCATCATGTTTCTACCAATTGGGGCTTGTCTTTAATTTTTTGAGAGATTTTTGCCGTAAGTTTTTTAAGATTAATTACATGCATGACTTGTGTACTGTTGTAACAACCAGTGACATTTCACAGTACCTTCAATGAAATGAGAGGGAAGCAACTCAGCCTTTTGCTCCAGATGCAGTGAATTGAAACTAGCAGGTCAAACTGAGGTGTCTTTCCTCCCCTAAGCATCAGTTCGTTTACAGTCCCATTCATAATGTGTTTTCAATGGAATCAGTTGGTGTGTCTGGCCAGAGTTTTGCCAATATAAAGTTCATGGTTTTAAACTGTAGAATTCTTAGTAAGTACAGCAAAGGTAGTATTACATAAGAACTTGTTACAGGATCATAAGTTGTAAAGCTGAAAGGGGTCACCTGAGTCCTCATTTTACAGATACAGAAACTGAGGCCCCCAGGAGTTAAGGAATGCAATTGCTCAAAGTTACACAGCTATCAAGTGACAGAGCCAAATTATAACTGAGGTTCTCAGCCTGCAAAGTCACAATGTGGAGCACCTTCTCCCATTCCATGCTCTGGTAGTAAGGCATGTTCCAGAAGCTTCAACTTCTCTTGCAATGCTAATTTTTAAAAAAATCTTTTTCACAGACCAAGAAATATGCTGATGTGATTATTCCCAGAGGTGTGGACAACATAGGTGAGTTCTGGAGGGACATGGTGGGGAGTGGAGGGGAGAAAGAGAATGAGGAGAGAGGAGAGGAGAATGACTAGGCTGTTTTGGGCTCTGTTCCTGGGCCTCCTTATATTTTTGTACCTTTCTGCCCTGACAGTGGCCATCAACCTCATCGTGCAGCATATCCAGGACATCCTGAATGGAGGTCTCACCAAGCGTCAGACCAACAACTGCCTCAACGGTTACACCCCCTCCCGTAAGCGGCAGGCCTCCGAGTCCAGCAGCCGGCCACACTGACCGCCTCCGCCCAATGCTCGTCCCTGCCCCTGAACCCTACCCGGGCGAGGAGGCCCCACTGATCTGTGTATATAGTGTTTCCAGTGACCTGACTGTGTAAGAAAACACCCGGGAAGATGAAATGCCTTTGATTTTTGTACTTTGGAACGGGCAGGATGAAATGGAAGATGAGTTTAAGCGATAAACTGTGCCAGGAGCTACTGGCGATGCTGAATTACGAGTCCATCGTGTAACCAGTTATAAATATATACATATATATATAAAAATCTATTTTTGTGTAAATGTAGAATAATGTAAAGCTGTTTGCCGTGAGTATTTTCCAAGGGGATATCTGAGAGTTTGTGCTTGTATTTTCTGGGATAGGTGCTTTAGCCCCGGCAGAGGGCGTTTGCTTCTTACATTTCCAGGTAGGATAAGCCAGTGGTTCAAGCATCTGTCAAGGAGGAGTGATGCAGGGGGAAGGACAGCTGATAAATTGTCCTGAATGCTGGTGAAAATCTAGAAAGGGTTAGCTTCTGACATTCCTCCCCGTCCCTCCCAGTGCTGCTCTCTTCTGACACATGCCACCTTCTGGGGCTGGTCCTTAAGGATATGAAAAGTGAAAGGATCTCTGTCTTTGTTTTAGTCGGGAATGAGGAAAGACCCCAAAATCATACTCAGGGAAGGAAGTGACCTGCAGAAGAGAGTGAATCTTGAATGTTCTCTTTCCCCACATCCAGTTAGTCTGTATATCCTTTTCTTTTGTCCTTCTTAATCTTCTCAGAGATGGTGCCTCTGGGTTCCTACCAGAGTAAGTAGGAATTTTGTGAGATTGCTGTCAACAGAAACAGAGCAAGAATGGAGCAGGAGAGAGTTTGCCAGTGGTGTGGGGACCTCTCTAGATACTGGCTTTCCAGGTACCAGATGGTACCTGGAAAGAATCTGCATTCGGGATTTCCCCTGCCCTGTTGTTATACAGCAACTGAAGGGTCTGGGCTTCTGCTTATTTACTTTCTGATAAGTGGCTCTGGATCTCAGACGCTGCCACACGGCCATTCATCTCAGCAATGGGAGCCAGTGCAAGACACTTAAACTGTCTTCTCTGACCAAGGGGTAGCTTTGTTTCCCTCCCCCCCCCAAAAAAAGGGGGGACGCATGCGCATTTAGTAGGATGAACTTGATTTCCCTCCCATTAATGCTTTTCATTTGCAATGTGACAACCTGGATAAAATTGCTGTTACCACAGAGAAGGAAACAGCTCCATCCTGTGCCTTAGAGGTGCTAAAAGGAGGGGACTGTGCATTTTCATCTTTAATAACTGGAATTTCCTCTCAATTACAGGGAGGTAAACCCAAGCCAGTCCCCTAGTGATGCCTTCCTTCCTGGGATAGATTCCTAGCTGAATTCTGGGGGGAAAAAATCAGAACTACTGGATTTATGAGATGTGATTTTAAAGTAATGTGACTGCTTTAATTTTATTTTGTTTTGTATACACTTGCCAGATTGTCTTTATCTAAAATTTGTGATCTTTCTAAAGTAAATCACTCGGGAGTCGGACTGGGGTGGGGTGGGCAAGGACAGAGGACAGACTCTTTAAGCATTTGGGGCACTCTTGTAAGTGGCGTTTGAAGTCTAATTTGAGTCACAAAACAAAACCAGTCTGATCACTTGGCCGCAACTTGTCTGTTAACCCCAGATGGCATCACCTGGCTCAGTCTACCCTGTCTTATTCACAGACTTGGCTCCAAGGGATTTGAATGCTTTTCAACTGAACCTATCCCCAAGGACAAAGCTTTGCCAACCCTCAGAAGAAGGTGCCACCTTTTAAAAAATACCAAACGGTTTTTCTCCAGAGAGAAGGGCTCTCTGAAGGCAGTTCAAGAGAGAGGAGTTTCCAGAATGTTTTAAGCCATGGAAGTGTCATTGATAAATTGGGTCACCCTCCCAAGGTGTCCCCTTTGAAAGAGAACAACATGCTTTTGTGTGTGGAAATTCTGGAATCTTTTTCTTAGTATTCAGTCACATTCCTTTATAGTCACACCTCAGCTCTGAGGCATGGGGAGGGGGGAGGATAAGACAGGGCCAGGAGCCTCAGGATGGCGGGGCCTTCATCCCAGGTGGGGGCACTCTCTGCCATGGGAAGTGTCTGTCTCAGACAGTCTTTGCCTTGCAGCGGGTACCATGCTCAAATTTACTTGAAGCTTCCAGGTGCCAAACCATTTAGTGCCTTGGCTGCCTATCCCACTGCCTTGTAAGACAGATTCTTCTGTTGTCACTGACCCTTCTACTTAGTTGCTTCTTCATCTACTTGTGATATTGGGACCAAGGTCATCCCCTGAGCAGGTTCTCCTACCAATCTTCCAGTCCCTTTCTTCACTGCTGCTCTACCCTTCATGGGTTTGATAGCCTCTCTGGCCTTTCCCTGTCACAGTCATTGACAGGCAAGGGAGGCTGGCTGGTATTTCCCAGGGTGGAGCAGAATCCAAAGAGGTCCTCCCCAAAACTATAGCACAGAGCAGAGATTGCCATATTGGAGGAAAGGAAGAAATTCAGGGGTATAATCCAGGTCCTTGAGTGCCCTAGGCAGGGCACCATCATCTACAGACTTGGCAGATTCTTTCATTGAGCTTCTCTTGTTCTCATATACCCCTGTGCAGATGTTAGGATGCAGGCAAAGATGAGCCCAATGGAGGGCTCCTTCAGATTCATCACCAGAAGGTGCTAAGTTTCTGCCTTGAAACTCAGCACCTGCAGCCTGGTAGCCAGGATGATATAATGTGATGACAGGCTGGCTTCACCCTAACCCCTGAACCAGAGAACTCCTGCCTTCTCCATTCTTCATATCCCACTTAACCCAAGGAAAGATGAATTGTGGGATAAGGCAAGGGTATTAGGAGAACTAATGGATGCTATTGGAAATGTAGTTGATCCAGCTCAGATTGCGGACCAGGAGAGGTAAAAGTGGTGGTTGTGCCCCCAAGGCATTCTCAAGAGTTCCGATGTAGCCACATGTTCTGTAGTGGGGGTGGTTAATCATGGGGAGCATGGTTTTCTGCCCCTAATTGGGTTCTAGGTTAGACAGTTGCCTCGAGAATTTGGAACTTCTTTGCTGGATCAGATGTGGTACAAGAGTCTCTTAAGGAGGTGAATGGATTAATCTCCCTAGGATTTATGGCCATGGATTTGGATGGGAAATTGAGACCCCTTAAGTCCATTCAGTGCTGTGTATAAGTAAGTGACCTCTTGGTGTGGTCTCTTGGAACACTCTTGGCCTGGCAGCAAAGACCTCAGTTAATGGGAGGTTAGGAACATGTGTTCTTCTGTATCCTACAACCTTACCTTCCCACATCAAATATTCCAATCCCCAAAATCAATTAGATCTATTTTAGCCCATGAAGACAAAGCTGAGTCCATGAAGATTGGATTGCCACTCTTACTTGACCCTTCTAAAATTTTTCTTTGGGTCCAGTAGGCAAATATGCTTTATTAGCTGGAGTGGTGGTAGCAAGCAGGTTCTAGGCAGGAGAAAAACCTGTGGAAGTGAATTGAGAGTGTGAAGCTCCCTTTAACCATCAGTGAGGGTTCCTTTCCTCTGTATCAGGCAAATGGTTAAAGATCTGCCCTTGCTAATTCAAGCTCATTCTGCCTTTAGGTATATGCTAGGAAGAGGCAGTAGCTGCCAGTATTGCCTCTGAATTAAAGTTGGGTTGTTGGTGAGGGGTTAGATTTTTTTTGTTTGTTTTAAGTTTATACATTTGTCTTTTCTGTTTTGTTATTAGTGATGAAATACTCTTGCCTATTCATATTCTGTCCTTCCCTGTAAATAAAGATGGAACCAAAAGGATGCAACCCTTTCCTTTGCCTTTATATTTGTTCTGAGAAGCAGTGGTTAAACCTGGTGTGAGTGTGAGGGTGACCTTAGCAGGCGTCTCTATAGGCAGTGCTGTAAGGTCTAAAAGAACTTTGGAGTCTAAGCTCCTCTAGAGAAGGAAGACATGCTGTCTCCCTTAAAGACACCATAGGTTTGTAAAGAGCTTTCACAGACGTCTCCGGGCAAGGTGTGTCCCCTTGACCAAAGATCAATCTCAGACCCAAAGAGATGAAAGGGCCTTTTCAAATCCATGTGGCTGCTAAATGGGAACATGCCAGTTCTTCTGCTCTTGCCCTAGTGTGTTCTTTTTCACGTCTAATCCAACCTAACTTCTGTGAATTGGTGGCTTGGCCTATCACTCTCAACCCTTACCTCAAACCTGAACCTCTGCTGGAACCACAGGACTCATTTTTCCTACCTGAGAATTCAGAGGTAATTTCTAGTGTTCTAGTCTCTGGTCTTATGGGCAAGAGGTGAGGAGATGACAGTGCTTTATCCAGGTGCTAATTTAATCAACATCAGGAGTCAGGGCAACTTAAAGAGAGAAACCATGAAATACCATGAAGCTCTGGAAAATATTTTGATTATTTCAATAAAGTTTCTTTTGTAATCCAGCATTGAAAAACATGCGTCTCAGTAGAGGGCCATAGGCTTCACCAAGCTGCTGAGGGGGTCCATGATCCAAAAAAAGTCGAGAACTCCTGCGTTAAAGGGGATAGTGAAAAGGAAGATGCTCAGATTGTGGTGCTGGATCTCTACTATGGTCACTCAGTATGAACCCAGCCATAAACTTCAAGGCATTAAGAACCACACTAGTTTTCTGAACTTTGGATTCCACTCCAATATTCACATAGTTGTGTGTATGTATGTGTGTGTGTGTGTGTGTGTGTGTGTGTATATACATATATCTGCATGTATGTTTATATATACATACACACAAGTATGAGTGAAAAACTTAAAACTAAGTGAAAGGAATTAGTTTGAAAAGGATGTAGATATTGGAGGCATTGAAGTAGTAAAAAGAAAATGCTAGCTTCTGAAATCACAATCCTGTCATCATCTTGCTGTGTGATCTTCGGTAAATCACTTGACCACCCTGGGCCCCAGTTTTCCTATCTGTAGTCCATTAAGGGCCGTTACACCTCTAAAATTGTATTAATTAAAAAATTAAGTGCCTACTACATGCAATCCACTGTGCTAAGTGCTAGGGATTCAGAGTTAAAATATGCTTTTAGTAGGTACTTGTGCTGGGCTAACCGCTGGACACTAAGGAAGCAAAATAGTCCTTGCCTTCTAGAAGTTTAAGGTCAAAGGGGTGAGATGCTATAGATAGGGAGACACACACACACACACCCCAGATGAATAATAAAACCTAAGGGGAAGGCTCTAGCAACTGGGATGAATTCAAAAAGGACTTCTGTAGAAGGTGGGCTTTGAAATTTATTAGTGAAGAAAGCCAAGGATTCTAAGAAACAGATGATGAGAGAATAGTCTAGATATGATGGGGGGAAGGGCTGGAAAGCAGAACATCTAGTGCAAATGGAGATAGGAGATGTCATGAACAGCAAATAGACCAATATGGTGGAATCATAGAATGCCTCCATGGAGAAGGGCAAAAAAAGATGGACCAGGATATCAAAATTTTAAAATGTCAAGCAGAGTTTTATATTTGATTCTGGAGGTAATGGAGCTTTTTTAGTAGAGGGGTAACTTGGTGAGACCAATGCTTTAAGAGACTCAACTGGCAGCTTTGTGAAAGATGGATAGGCCAAAGGATCTGGCTTTGAATCCCAAACTATTAGAATTTGTGTGACCTTGGACAAATCACTTTGTTTTTAGGCTTCAGTGTTATTCTCTGTAAAATGAAGGGATTTGATGAGATTGGCTTCAAGGGCCCTTTTGACTCTAAATCAAATTCTTACCCTTAATAAGAAGCTATAATTTTGCGTGTTAAGTAGTAGAAATGGTGAAAACCAGAACAGTAAAATACCTGAACCAAAGTGATTAATAAAAACCCCAACAAAATAACAATAAAAAGCTTAGTTTGTTAAGTTTATATGGCTCTACATGTCATACTTAGGATATGTGGGGGCTCCATATTCTACAATGGTTCTACCTAGTGGCAGGGTTGTTGTGAAGAGCAAATAGAATTATATTTTTTTAAAAAGTCCTTAGCACAGTGTCAGATATATAGCAGATACTATATAAGTGCTTATTCCCTTCCCCCTTCTGCCTTCTCCCCTAGTGCTTTCTACACCCTTATTAAATTTTCATACAGTGCTGTGCCAGTGCCGATATTTGCACTCAGGATTCCACATTATCACTGCTGTGTACCCTTTTGTTGAACCCCTTTTTGTAATGCCTTTAGATTCCTGCATGTAGCCAAATCACATTTAATGAAGACAAGTGCCAGGGACCATCAATGGTTGCAGCATAGCCTATCCCGGTGATGAAGGTGATGGTTATGTGTGGTGCTTCAGAATCCTCTTCTTGGCTAACTTTTTGATGAGTATGCCCCACCTAGTGGCCACATTTCGGTTTTGCTTCCCACCCTCTTTGAGATTGGCCACCTGGCAGCTGCTCTTCCCTTTGACATGGGTGTTCACCATGGAGCTCACAGACATCTCCAGAGACTTCTGTATATTCTCCCTTTTGTTTCCAGAATTAGCATGCCCTTCCTTTCCAGGCCCAAATGGGAAAATTTAATTCTGTTTTACATCCTGGTGTGTGTATAGAGTTCTAGAATTAGGATGACCTAACGAGATTATCCAGCCTGCTTCATTTTACAGAGGAATAAAATGAGCTATGACAGGTAAACAGCAAGTAAGAAGGGTCAGGGCTCAAACCTGGATCTTCTGGCTCCTGGTACGTACTCTCTGCGTTGTACCATGCTGCCAAAATGCCCACTGTGAACATAATACTTCAGGCTTGAAGTATTTCTTTTTTGCCATTTAAAACCTATCTAAACTACACGTTCCCTTTAGCTTTTCTGACCTACAGAGTACACTGAGTCTTAGAAGCTGGCAGCAGGCCACTCACTTTTAGAATCTTGGGACATTTGTTGAACCACAATGAAATCTTCTGCTCATTTAGTCTGATCCTTTCATTTTTCAAATAAGGAAATCCCAGTTCAGAAGGCTAGCTAGGGCTAGGACTGGGACTAGAATCTGGGTCTTGTGACATTCAGTCTAGTGTCTGATTGGCCACACCAGGACGCCTTGCTGATAACCTAGCCATCTTTGTGTGATTCACATTCCTTGGTTAAATTGGCAGCCCCACCCCCACCCCCAGTATTTCTCCACTGGCAGCAGGTGCAGCCCTAATTAGGCTCAGGGGTTCTTGGAATCTCTTAGGCTTGAGAGTTTTCTTGAACAGCAGTTTCAGGAAGGACATATGAAAAGGGACCTTTGGTTAGGTGCCCAGAGAAGCGCATTTTTAATAAAATCTCATGTTTATATAACCATTTAAGGTTTACAAAGCTCATTCATTGCCTTTTGCTTTTAACCGTATCCCCATTTAATAAATGCCTGTTGATTTAAGTTGACTTCACAATAACCTTGTAAAGTGGTAGGTAGTACAAACGTTAAGTCCATTTTATAAAGGAGAGAGCTGAGGCTCAGAGGCTAGATGACTTTCTCAAAGTCAAACCCAGTCAACTGAGTGGCCCAACTAGGCTTTGAACTGCAATGCTCTTGGGATGACATCGTGTCTTTTTATTTTGTCAATGATCTTTGGATCACGGATATTTACTAAGGACTGTGAAATGATCCCACTTTCCCATGCCTGTGGATTTTAATAGCCTTGAATGTTAGCTGCATGGAACGATAAGGCTTTGTGTTCTAATTGGGCTGGATGGAGAGAATGTAGCCCATGTGTGTGGCTCCCTCTCAACAGGCCTCTTAGGGAATCTGGAGCAGATGGAGGAAGCCGGAGGAAGCCGGAGAGCTGAAATTTCCTTCTGTTGGGCTGCCTTGCTTGCCGATACTGTAGCCCCTAGCTCAGATCCGAAGGACCTGAGCAGGTAGAGAGCTCCTCATTTGCTTGAGATTTATCAACCCAGAGATCTTTTATCTTGGGTCATATCTTCTTGGGCAGTCATGCCAAAGGGAGTTGGGAATCTTTGGCTAGAACGTCATCTCCTCTAACCCTCAAACTCATTTTGCTTAGAAATGGTTTTTGGAGATGCCTTTCACTGGGTAGGAAGCTGAGGGCTTTGCTGAAGAATGCTTTGGGCTCTTTTTCTTTCCCCATCTTCACTGAGCTGAATCTTGCAGATCACTTGATGAGGGAGGGGGAATAGGGAGTGGGAAGAATTGTGGCACAGTGGATATAGAGTACTGGACTCAGAGTCAGGAAAATCTGAGTTCAAATCCATCCTCAGATTCTTAACTAGCTGTGTGACCCTGAGCAAGTCATTTCACTTCTCTCATTCTCAGTTTCCTCATCTGTAAAATGGGGAAAATAATAGCACCTACCTCACAGGGTTGTTGTGTGGATCAAATAAAATAACTTGTAAAGCCCTTTGCAAATTTTAAATGCTAATTGTGTGGCTCTAAATGGCCTGATCTCCAAAGACTCCAATATCCAGGAGTTGCTGCCCAAGAGGGGAGTGGCCTCTAGGGCCATTCAAGTTTGGCTTTTACAGTTCATCAAAAGGGACCAGTTGGAAGCTGATCAGTGTGACTTTGTTGAGGAAACACATGCCTGTTTCTGTTTTGGCAGATTTGGTACCGAGCAGGGTAAGAGGTACATGTTGGTTATTTGTGTGTGACATCTCTCCCTACTAGATTGTAAGCCCCATACAGGGCAGGGCTTGTGTCCTCTCTAAACTGTGTATCTCCTTCAGCACCTAATACAGTGTTTTGCACACAGTAGGTGCCTAATAAACCTTTGTTGAATGGAATCAAACTGTGTTGGAATCTTTCCAGATCAGCTAGCCAGACTGAGCCCTCTGCATTCTTCCATACCTGTCACAACT